AAGTTCAACGAATGTTCATAGTTTGAACCGGGCCGAACCGCCTTGTAAAGGCGGGGCACGGTTTCAAGGTTATGATTCATGACATCAGGGGGGGCACGAAACAAAATATCTAAGGCGCGATCCATCCTGCCACGGAAATCGGGGGTGAGAATTTCAATTTTAGTATGGGGGGATAAACACCTAATTGATTGAATACAATTAACAAAATGTTCTGCGCCGCCATCTAATAAGTCATCGCGATCGACACTGGTAATCACAACGTATTTGAGTTTAAGTGCAGCGATGGCTTCTGCTAATTTACGGGGCTCATCAAGGTCAAGCGGCTCGGGGCGACCATGACCGACATCACAAAAAGGGCAACGCCTTGTGCATTGTTGCCCCATAATCATAAAGGTTGCTGTGCCTTTGCCAAAGCATTCGGCAATATTGGGGCAAGTGGCTTCTTCACAAACGGAAAATAAATTGCGTTCACGCAAAATCTGTTTGACCTGATTAAATTGAGTATTCCCTGTTGGCAATTTCACACGAATCCACTCGGGCTTGGGGAGTTTCTCTGTTTGCACCACAGGAATCGGAATGCGCGCGGTTTTAGCTTGCCCCTTTTGGTGTTTAAGCAATAAATGGGTGTCGATAATGTGTTCGGTAACAGGTTTTTCGCTGGACATAAAAGGTCCCGATGGGGCGGGCTTTGATTGATAATATTGATAAATCAATAAGCTAAATTGTTTTTGGTGGCGCTTTTCTCACCCAATACCAAGCTTAATTGATGCTGCAATTGTACTAGAACTTCTCCCAAAATAGGGGATAACGGTGGGTTTTCTAGTGTTGTGTGGGTTGCTAAAGGGGGAGGGGCTTGGTTGATGCTGGCCATATCGGTCGTGATAAGTCCTGCGTAACCACAAGGGTTAATCCATGAAAACGGTTGTAAATCCATGGCAACATTTAAGGATAAGCCGTGGTACGAACAACCTTGTTTAATTTTTAAACCAATTGCGCCAATTTTAGCGCCATTAAGCTCATGAAACAATTGACCTTGATCAATTTTGAGATAGACTCCCGGTGCATTTTCATGACGCACTGCAGGCACATCAAATTTTGCTAACGTATTGATCATGATGGTTTCAATGTGATACACAAAATCTTTGACGAACCAGTTGCGCCGTTTGATATCAATCAATAAATAAGCCACCAATTGCCCAGTACCATGATATGTAATTTGACCGCCACGATCGGTTTGGACTAATGGAATAGCAGTGTTTTGCACGAGCAGGTGCAAAGGATCTGCCGCTTGCCCTAAAGTGTAAACAGGGG